CGACCGAGTAAACACCAAAAGGTTTCGCACAAAAGGTTCCATACGAAACCTTTATCAAGAAAAATCTAAAAGGTTTCGTACAAATNCTCTAATTCTGAAACACAGTATTATACTCATTGAGTCAAAGTGAACGTTTTAGACTTGAAAAAAAGACGCGATTTGACTAATGTTAGATTTATAAAACTTGAGTTACTAGATGCTATATTTTTATCTAAATAGCATATTTTGTTCAGTTTTTAATTCTCTATCTTCTGGTATATAACATGAAAAATTTCAGTGATTTGTTGAGACGCAACCTGGCATCATTTTAGTAGAGCATTTTTTAGTGTTTTTTCTATTGAAGTCATGATAGTGCTAAAAGTTGGTCTTGACTAACTTTTCAAAAGAAGGGCATTAGAAGCTAAAATTTTGGGGTTGGTGGTTTCAGACATTGAAGTGTTGAATGAGCAAAAAAAATTAAAATTTTTTTTATTATTCGGTGCCTCGTATATGGACGTGATACTCGATGATCTCGCGAATATTCTCTTAATTGTTTTGCGCACCCTGTCCATTGATAAGAGTTAAATTGAAAACGAGATTTGTCATTAGTAATAATTTGTTTGAATATATAACGTAAAAGGCTCTCAAAAAGTAAAAATAAAAAAAAGGAATAATTCAGTTCGAATATGCAATCCAATGATTCTTTCATTGACTTTTTATACAATAGAAAAAAAGAAAAAACGATATATTTCTCTGTCAAACAAAAAAAGTTCTTTTAAGAAAAGATCGTGTAGAGTTAATGTTGTCTTCGGTAATATTAAAATTTCATATCTTCTTTATCGTTGCTTTAAATCAATTCCATCAATTAAATGATTATTACTTGTTTTCAAATTGAATTTTTTGTTAAACACTTTGGTAAAATAAGTGCATAGATTTCCACACGAAATTGTTGAGACATTAAACAATACATAATAAATGTTATAAATGATGAACTGATCGATGTCATATCCCATACATCACCCAAATGTGAATATAGGTAAAAGAAACTTTTATCAATACCACTAGCAATAAAAAGAAGACCTTGAGGAAATTCAACAAGTGCAGTAAATAATGTTATAAATACAAGCATTCGTGTAGTTCGTAATTCACGTTTTGAATTTGATGTTGTTGATGATACATATAAATAATGATGATGAAGACGTTCACGCACTTGGCGCGCATGATGAATATTTAGTATTAATAATATACTGAATACAATTAAGATAAAAACAGGTAAAATTTTAAAGCATAGTGCCAATAGAACAAAAGAAATTTTTTCCAATCGTTCACCCGTTGCTGTATTAACCCAATAAACTATTTCTGTAGAATTTTTAGTATATAAATGAGGGAGATGTATATAAGCTGGTTGACTAACAACACTCCATGTTAAATAATTTGGTATCATTAATAAACATACTAAAAGAGCAACGAACCAAACAAGAATTGTTACATGAGTTGAATTCACTACTACTTGTTTAGGTTTTGATATCATTATATATCGAATCTAAACAATATATATGTATATACAAAATTATATTTTATTGAATCTTACAGAATAAGGCAAAAGTTGGCTTATCGAAGAAAAATTTGAACATCTTCGCCATGTTTGAAACAAATCAACGGATTTTTTTACCGCTGATAGAGGAGTATTCATGGGTTATATACATAAAAAAAACATTTAAAATAACTGCTTTAAATTATTATTCTTGACCTCAATAAAAAAAACATTGCTTTAAACGAATTACAAAAAACGATATTTCATTTTCTTAAGAAATTCTAAATATTTATGGCTGAAACTTTCAGAGTACACTGAGTAAGAAAACATACATGTATGATATTAATTAGAGACTCAACAAAAATAATTGGAAGAATTATTCGAAAAACTGACATATATCGTTTATTTCTTTCCTTACGGGAAATAACATTTTCTTTTTACTCACAAGAGATTAGATTTTCTATTGAAGTGACAGGTAGTACTTTAAAGTAGTTATTTTAAATGTTTTTCCTATGGATATTACCCATAAACATTCTTCTATCAGTAGTAAAAAAAATCAGTTCATTTAGTTGAAATATGGCGAAGATATTCAAATTTTCTTTGATAAAGCCACTTTTGTTTCAACCTGTACTTACAATAGCTAGTAGACAAGTTAACAATAATGCTATAGAATGTGCAGTTAAACCGATATTAGAATGAAATATAGCAAACCATGGCCAAAATGAAGATTGACCAACAAATGGATTTGGTTGATGAATGATATAAAAGTATAATGAATAAATATTATATGAAATTAATACAATTGTATCAAAAAATGCCACATGTTGTAGAATTAAGTTTGTTGGTGTTCGGAAATTTTTTTTATTAAGTACAATAATTGTTACAATACTTGCTAATATACCAAATATTGTTAACGGAAATAATATTCTACCATGAATTTGTGCATAGTTTTCACTAAATTTTACAAGAATACTGTCTGATAAATTCGAAAACATTTTTTCTCAATTGTTCTTATTGATCATCTGGAAAGAAAAGAAATGAATAATATAGATCGTTAACAAGTTTATTCTTTTGGGACTAACAATTAACTTTATTGAAACGTGCTTAGAATTCTTTTTCTATGAAAATAACAGGAAAAAAGAAAATTTTCATTAGTTATGAAATACTATCGAACAACTCTTTTCTATTGGTATACTCAATCATTTGATTATTCTTTATATATATATATATTTTCTCATTGAAACTTACCTCTTTTTTTTTTCCTTTTGTTTTCTAAGTCTGCTAGTGTTTGTCTATATTCTTGTCGTGATGAACAACTTCTATCTATATGTTAGAAGCAGAACTTTCAGTCATGACATTTATTATCGAACAATATTGTTTTGGTTAATATATATATATATATATATATTGTGTGTTAGAATAATGAGAAAAAGAAAACAATTAACTTCGGATGAAGAAAGGAATGTTATGCGCATCCATATGAAAGTGAAAGAAAAATACAAAAATCGATTTGTACATTCTCAACCAGCTTACAGATTATGAGAGATGACTTTGGACTTCTGCAGTATTCTTATTTTTTTTTGTTCGCTTCAAATAGTAGGGAAGGATTGTGTTGTTCTAGGAATTTATTTTATAAAGATATAAGTTTGTTTCTCGTATGATTTACAGTTTATGTTCATTTCGATTTAAATAACTTATTTATTGAAGAATAAAAACTAATCTATTTTAATATGATTGTTTCTGTTTTAAAGCTTTAACATTCCTTGTAAAAATGAATTGACAAATATACGTACCGAAATCGAACAAATACTTTCATAAATGATCGCAAGTTATCATAAATTGACGAATAGCATAGCTCAGTATGACCATCGTTGTTTTTCCGTATCGTATAAGAAAAAATATGGCCGTATATGATGAAATATGGAGTGTATACAGCCGTTTTCGAAACTCTTCAAATTTCGTATTCTTTGTCCTGAGTGAGCGATTTAGGTAAGAAAAAGGATACCTATCTGTCATTCAGATCTACATAAGAGCTTTTTGATTGATTAACTAACAGGTTAAAAGAAACTTATCTGATTGACCTGAAAAAAAAAATCTTGACTCTTCTGAATCGAATTCAGTAGGAATCATAACTAATTATTAGATAGACATTTTATTAACTAAATTATCGAAATATAGTTTAACATCAGTTCAAGAAAATATACATCATTTTTAATCATCGTTTTGGCGATATTAATCGTAGTGAAGTCTCATATTTTAGAAGAAATTCTATCAATCTCATTACGAACAAACATTTAGATCTGCCCTGTTATTGTCATTTCTGGTAAAATTCAATTTATAATTGAATTTTTTTGATTGAAAAATAAACAAATGACATTCTTACAATGTATTTTCTTTTTATAAGATACATTTCCTGTCATAATGTGCAATACTTATTGTCTTGCTCATTTGGTATATAAGAATGAGAAAATTTAAGAGTCAAAGTATGCGTGCGTGCATATTTTACATGAAGTGACTCTGAGCATTCATGTTAAATTTATTCATAAGAAACAAAATATTTTATTAGAATGAATGATTTATACATTTTTACCGAAAGAAATATTGTCATAGTTATCGTTTATTGAATAAAATCTAAGTATTTATAAATCAATACAAATATAATTTCTCCTTAATTTTCGATTTTAAAGATAAAAATATAAAAATATTCAACTTCTTAGAAGCTAAACATGAATTGAAATTGAATTAATTTAAAAACTGCACGACCGAAACCAAAATAAATTTATTATTTCTCCTTGTTTGTAGTTAATATTCAACATGAAAATATCATTAAGTCAAAGCATCAAGCACCTTAATTTGCCTATTTTTGTATATGAAGAAAGGAATTCAGATGTACATACTTCTAGAATTGATGAGAACACAATTAAATAGCTTTGTTTGGAGAGAATTATGAATCTATTTTTTCTGTAGAAGACCAGTCATGCATTGGATTCATCAGAACTTTCATTATACATTAAATGAAAACTATGTAAATAAGAAACAATCCACTATTTTCCGTAACATGATATACCAAAGACAAGATAAACCTCTTTTAATCTTTAATTTTTTCTCTTCGTCTTTTTCTTGAGAAAAGAAGGTTATATGTTCTTTTCCATCATTTATTAGAAGATAAGAATTTTTTTCATGATTATTAATATTATTTTGACAGTAATTCTTTAGCAAATATGAAAAACTAGCAATCTAAGATAATTTCATGTTTTCTTTCAATGAAATCAGTCTGAGTTATATTATGCTTTGACATTGATTGAACCTATATTCATATTTTGTTTATATTCATTTCTAAGTAACATGAAAAAAACACTATTTTTCTTATTTCCATTGACTTCTCATGTAATTTGTTCAGTGATTTTACAATTGGCCTCGAAAACCAGTGTGTATGCTATTTTATTTTATAAACAAAATAGAAAAAAAACAGAATAGAATAATATAATCAATGTCCAAGTATAAATTGAAGTAATGGTATTACTTTAATCGATGATATATCGGAAAAAATAGCCTAAATTAATTATGAAACTAAACATAATGTTTTTAAAAGAATGATTACTTCAATCGCTGATTCGCTTGTTACTGTTAAAACATTTCCTTTACGTAACACAAATACGGCAGCAGCAAGAACTAGATTAATAAAAGAAAAAAGAAAAAACATTAACAAAGAACGAAGTTAATTTAAATACGAGATAAAATTTCCAAAGAATCATAAGCAAGAATTCTATCCCAAAGTGCTAATAATTGATTCGAAGCTAAATAACCCGAAAAAGCTCTCATCATCCATTTAAAAGCAATTCGTAATCTAAATAAAAAATTTTATTTTTTCAATTAATTTAATTAACAATTATAACTTACGGTTGAACTTGAATTTCCTGTAAATGAAACCATAAATCAGGCGAAATTTGACGTAATAAAGATTCAAATAAAACACATAAACCAACGATTGCCTAAAGTGAAAATTCTTTTCTAATAAAATCAAAAAAGTTTTTAAATATTCTCACATTTGGTGAAGCTGATATATGATGTAAATTAAAAAAATATTTCATATAAAATTGTCGAAAAATAAAATATAAATGAACTGGATCTTCAAAAACGAAACACACTGGTGCAACTTTAAAAACAGACCAAAAGAACATATTTTTTTTGATTTATTTTGAAAACAAAAAAAAGTTATTTGTTTTACCAAGCATTGAAAAACCGTAAAATGGAATAATTCCACTTGGTGGATATATAACCGAACATTCTTCAGCACCTATTTTCTTTTTAATAAATGAACGTGCTGGTTCACAACCACTTGCACTGGTTGAAAAGCATGATTGAACATGTGTATCACGAGAAAATAACAAAAGAACCTTTTTTTTTGTACAATTAATAAAAAAACAACAACAATATTCTTGTTTTTTTTTCTTACTTGATATAAATAATCTTCAAAAACAAATAATTGATCATCATTTACTGCTGTTAATTTTACATCCTATTGAAATACAAAAGAAATATTTTTAGTATAAAATTCTAAAATCATTACATTAATTCAAATATTTTTATTGTTCTTACACTATTACTTTAGTAATCATCCTTTATCAGGAGATATTCGGATATGATCAAAAAGATTTTTTTTTTCAATTATCTTATTAATTTATCACGAACTTCTCTACCCATAAGATAATATGTCTACTTAATATACTGTATTTTAAAAGTCCAGTTGAAAATGAAACATGAATAACACTTCAGCAATTCAAAAGATTTACATATCTTTCTTTTGTATTTTGATCTTATCTACATTAAAGATTTCTTTTCGACCTATTTCAGATAGAATGTTGGTGTCTATCGAAGTCAAAATTGAAATAGTTTCACTCATAGCCAAATTTCAATCAGTCACTAGAATGTCAAACAAACACTAGAAGTCAAATTCGAAGAAAATCCGCCAATTTAACATTGCATTAGGGTCAGATTCCAATGATTTTATGAAAATAGAACTCTTGAATAACGATCGTATTGACTAGAACAGTAAGACGTAGAGTAATTTCTGGAGAAAAAGTTCGTGAGAGCCGAGAGAACGGCACTCCTTCTAAGATCGAGTCAACACTTCTGAAGGTTGCTGTAATGATACACCACACTATTAGTCTACGCTCCCAAGAAAAATAAGTATTCGCTCTCTCACCCTTTGAAATTGCTCTTTGAAAAGGGTAAATCTGAATAAAAAATTGCCATGTATGTTATGAAATATTGTTAAAATATTCATCAGCTATTTACATTCTATTTATTGTGTAACATTCAAAAATGTTTTAATAGGTCAGCTATCTAAATACTCACATAAAAACATCCGTTAATGGAATGTTAATCGAATACTGAATTAGTAAACAACTTTTTATGATATATTAAGGATATACAGTTCTAGTGAACTGTTCATCAACAACTCACACTGACAGACAATGACAATCACTGACACTTAGACATAATAACTATAACAGCATCGGCGTACAATAATCAATTAGGAATGAGTAGGAATCACAAGATTCTTTTCGATCACGATATAAATAATATTGTTGAAAAACAAGAAAATGACGAACTAAATTTTCATAATGACTAATTTTTTTTAACTTTAGTAAGTGTAACTAAAAAAGTAGTTGTATATTAATAAATATATATCCTTTGATTGAAATGTATCGATTTTTGAGAATAAATAGTGTGTTTGTTTTTAAAAATTTCTTTAAATAATTTTTGAACAACTAATTCAACCGTTTGTAAGAAAATAAAAAAGATATTTATTGTCTTTCATGAATATTCTTCTGATTCCAACATTCTTGTAACTTGAAATCGGACTTGAATCAGAACCGACTTTATTTTTTTAGAATCGTATTGGAATTGCCCATTCCTAAGCATACTGATTTAGCTGATATGTCCATGCTGTATGTATGCTTTAATACTTTAGGGAACACTGATCCAATATAGTCAGTAGACTCAATGTTGGTAAATCACTGTTAATATTTTGCACCACGATACTGCACATCTCTATGGCATAATAGTATTGAACTATTTTATCAAGTAATCTAAACTCAGTGAATATTTATGAAGACAAAATCATTTCCTTTCAATAAATTTAATAAGTGGATAAAAATGAATGATACAGAAAATCTTGATCCTTAGGGTACGAGTTCACAAAGTTTTATTCACAAATAGAAAATAGAACGAAAACACGTCATTTACTGTATGTGAATCAACAATTATCTCATATTTCAAAATATAATTAACTAAGGTTTTTTTTATCTATAAGAGTTCAAAATACCTTAAAATGCAGACTATCAACCAAGAGATCATAATCGATAACATTCTGTTTGAGATAATTAAAATAAGTTATATGCTAAAATTTCAAAATAAAAAAAAATATAATTTTTAATAAAACAAAAGAAAAATGATTCTATACCCAATTGGAGAGATCAATATCTAACATACTGGACCAAAGTTTTCCTCGTAAACTTGTCGGACAACCACGTTGTGCATATTCTCGTACAGAATTTAAATTTGGTTTTTTTTCAAGAACTAAAATTGAACTTTATTTTATTTTTAATTTATTGATTTCATTTTTATTTACTTTGTAATGCTAATTTAATATTTTCTTCTTCTTTAGCTTCATTAAATGTTTCATCAGAACAATATTGAATTATATTTGGACGAAGATCCGAATATAAATTTTTCTATAGAATAATTGTTTTTTTTTGTTTGTAAATAGAAATCAAATTATAAAATAAAACATACAATTTCTACAAAGCTTTTTGTTACTAATGGAATTTTAATTAAACCACAACTAAAGAAAATAAATTAAATAAAACTTAACTAATAAAAGGAAGAATCTAACTTCCAAAGTGTTTCATCAATTTTTAAATTTGGATTAACTAATACACAAATAACATCAAGAAAATCTTTTGCCGAATAAACAGGACGAAAACGATTTAAGTCTTAAAAAAAGAACCTATTTATTGAAATCAATTAAAAATATAAAATTCAACCTCCACAAATATGACCAAGTTCATTCCAATGTCTTCTTACTGTTCGCATTTCATTTTCATTTCTCTATTAAAATATAAAACAAGAAAACATTAAACTGAATTTAATTTGAAAAATTTTTAATCAACTTGTCGTGCAAGTGGTAAATTCACTTCAGTACACATTGTATTTAAACTTTTTACTATTCTTTTTTCCCATGCTGACTAAAAACAAAGAAATAATTTAATTAAATAATCTAGTTAGAAAACAAAACATACTTGGCCTTTTTTTAAATAATCTATTTCATATTTATGTTCATCAAATGATGAGACTTGAGCAGATTTAAATAAATGTTGATAATATTCATATTGATCTTTATTTAAAACAAAAAAAAAAGATTAGTTATAATTAATAACTGAAAAAAATTGAATTTAATAAAACCTGATTGTTTAATTGTTTTAACTAAAGATTGAAAATCGTCAACGAATTTTCCAGTTGAAACTATTAATTTCTATTGACAACATTTATTAAAAAAAAAAACATTTTTACAAACTCAATTTGTTTAAATATACTTGAGTTTGATTTAAAAATGCTTGTTTTAATTTATCGTCGACTTTATCATTCATTTTATAATTATCTTAAAAAGAAAATATATTTTGAAAAAATATTTTATCCACGACACATAGGAATCAAACAGATTGATTATGTACAATTCAAAATTCATTGTCTATTGTAATAGGAGTAACTGTCAATGTTAATTGAGTATAAGAATTCTCTTTTCGACATTTTCATTATTTTTTATTTGAAAAACGATTAAAAATCAGCTATGTATAACACCTAAAGGTTTCAATTATCTTAAAAGGAAAGATCTTCATCAGTACTGAAAATTGTTCTTTAATATGTGGTCATCATTTGAAATTACATTCTGCAATTTTCTTTCATCTGTCAAAAGTAAAATCGGTGAATACAAAATAAACAGATGATAAAGATTGACCTTTTTGTTATTACATATGTCTTTTAAATAAACGACTATTGATGGTAACTGTATGTCCATAAAATGTTCATCCGACCGATCATTGTTCTTTCAATACATAGCAAGTAAAGATGTCATGGTAACGAATAAGGCTGATCAGAAGATACGGACATCTGTTGAAGGACGATCTTTATCTATATAGTCTCTTCTTTTTTTCATTAATTTAGGAAGTAAAAATGACTGATTAACCGAGTATATTTCATGTCATACGCTGCATCCAACCAATTGACGAAAAAAGAAAAGCAAAGGATGCTTGATACGGTTTTTCTGAAGAAAATTTGTCTTTATTAATCTAATTATCCCTCAATCTAGATTTTTCACAAACTATCTTTCAATAAGATCAATCTGGTATCAGATAATCTTCACACAAAGTCATACCGATGATCTCTTTCTGGATATATATGATTTTTATTACTTGAATTGGCTAATTTTTCTAGTTCGTATGGAACTCACAAACTTCAATTCTTATAAATTTATTTTCTTTACTAAAGGAAGGATAATATGAATTAGAAGACTTGAGCTTTCAAATCAAGCAACATTAAATAAAGTGAGTCATCTGTCGCTGTTAGAAGCCAAATTTGTCAACAATCAGAATGATCTCAAGACGTTCAAGTAGAACGACATTGTCCACTCTTATTTTTTACCAAAAATGTAGTGTGAAATCAATAAATCACAGACACAGAGTATTTCTTTTTTCTTAACCATCCATACTCATACCCTAGTACGAAGTCTCACTTTTTCCCCCTTGAGAAAAATACATATTGATATCTACTAACTTTGTTTAAATATTCGATGGTAATTAGTACCAAATAATGTTCTTTGTATCTTGATTTTTGTATCAAGGTTAACAAGGTATATGACAAATTGATGCAAACAAGAATTTTAAAAAAATGTGACACATCCCACGTAAATTCTAGTATGCATGAACATTTAATTTACTTTGCTCAAATGTATACACACCACATGCTAGCACGATGTTATAGAAAACAGATTCTTTGATGCATGATATTCAATATGGCTCACTCTCAAAACAGATACAATTTTCTATAGAGAACATTGATAGACAGAGCTAACAGACATACTTAAGAGTGAATTCTATAGATATAGTTCATTATAATACATATTGAATTATTTATGATTCTTTTATCCTTAATTGTATTGCTTCTTCATGTTAGCGACTTCCTACACATTTCCAGACTATTTGATAGATATTCATAGCTATTTAATATCTTTATACAGCTACTCAATTATTTTATATATTTCTAACTGTAGACCTACTTAAAATTGCAAGCACGACTTAAATATATCTAGCATTACTTAATAGATATTCATAGATATTTACTAGTAATTTATATATTTTCTAAATTGCTAACTGTCGAGCTACATAATCTAAGCACGATTTTGGAGCATGAACGTCATTATTGAAGCTAGAACTAAGAGTAACGTATAGATCTTTTATTTTATGACTTTTAATGGTAAAGATATTTGCAATATATTCCATGTTTCTATCAATTAGTCTCACCAAATATTTAGAGATTTCGATTAATATTTAATATTGGTTCTTACCTGTTTAATAAACACTCAGCTACTCACTTACTCTTACTAATTTGTTTCGAGCAAGGACAAAAAAAAAGAAAAAAATGTTGAATGAGTTACTGTTTAATCTTCAGGGATCCTTTTTATCAATAAGCATTTTGTTTTGAGGATCATTCATAATCGAATGATATATACAATATGTTAGATAGATTAATCATATTAAGATAACATGAATGCTCTAGTTGATAGTTAAACTAAACATTTCAAATTATCGGTCGCGAATAGCATGCATGGATTTAGATAATCAGAATTTTTGAAAGATTAGTAATTTATGTCATGTATTCAAACTTTAAAATTTTAGAAGTATTGTTTCTTTTTCTTTTTGCATTATAGTCGAATAGAGTTCGTCGAGTTACATGAGAAACAAATAATATCATACATATTCAAAAAACAACTTTCTGAAAACATCTAAGTAATACTATTTTGAATTGTAAGAATAATAGACAGACTTCTACCTATTATAATACCCTTGTTAAATACACAGGATACTCTTTTTTCGGATGTAAACCGTTCATTTCTGTTGAGTGATAATGAAAAAAGGAAAAATCAATTCTTCTGAAAGTTTTAAGTATGACAATTTAAATTATTTAAAATATGCATTTTTCATTTTCTTCAATGCTTATCGAATCTTAAAAATGATTACAATAATATTTAATAACATTAGGATTCAATCGCTCATAATGTATTGCAGATCAATAAACCAAATGCTGTTACGAAAGGGAAAATCATTTCAATCATTTAATAACTATCTATGCAAAATATTTAAATCGTTACTATGATGCTGAAATAATGGTAGATATTAAACAGCTTGTTATATGAAGAAGTACAAAAAAAAATTTTCTTAGAAATAAGTTAGCTATTTAAATCATTCAATAGTCATATGATTTTTTCAAAGTAGATATTAAATTTTTAAAATAGGTATGATAATTTTTATAGCCTTAGACTTTAAGTATCTAGTTCAATGAAGTTACACATTACAAGAAAACTCATTACAAACACGCTAACTACTTAAATCATCTAGTAGCTTTATAAGTTCTTTAAATAGCTATTAGATATTTTCAGTAACTATGATAATGTTTAACTAGCGCTAGACTTTAAGTACTTAATTATATGAGTTATTAGCTATTCAATCATTAAGTAGTTGCATATTATTCGAAAAAGTATCTCTTTTGAGAAGCTACATCATGCTTTCGTTCTTCTCTTGAGAGTGCAATCAACTGTTTTAAATATTTCTATAGTAAATATTTCGTTTCAAATTTATACGTCATTACATTTAATGTAGTGTGTTATGCCTTATTAAAAGATAATAACATATTCTTATGATATTTTGCTGATTTTTCTCAGGAATACATTCAATTAAGAGAAATATATGCATTGTAATGAAATCTCGTACGTAGACTATTCATCCAATATTCCATTCTATATTTCGCATATATTTCGAATAGAGTTTAATTAAGTTTATTTTGTGACTCTGTACAAAATCTGGTGCAATGAAATGTAAAAAGATAACGTTTTCCATAACCCTCGATAGCTTAAAAGCATTTATATGCATTAGTAATAGTTTTTTTTGTTTTACATGAGTACATCAAATATTGCTTTTGTTTTTTCTATAACGAACTACATTTCTTTATTTGTTTGTTCAAGATGAAATGTGGAACATTAATACTTGAAGATTGATCTGAATTCGATGGTTTCCTATTTGAAGCACGAACAAATACTGTCGGTAAAGTCGATAAGATTCTATTAATTAATTTCTTCTTTGTTCTTTTTCTTTTACTTCTATTTAGTCTTTCAAACTGGTATGGTTGGTTATATTGAATCATTAACTGATCCATGTTATTATGGAAAAATTCTAGTTCTTACTTTTCCACTTATTGGCAATTATGCTTTTTTTTTCTTTTTATATCTTTGTCTTGAATGTTTATTTAAAATTGTTCAGGTATACCCGATGAAAAAGCGGTTGATGGTTCTGCTCTACATCGATGGGTTGAATCAAATAAAATTTATGCATCAGGATTAATTGTTAGTGCTTATATCGAACAGTATAGTCATTGGAATGCTATGGAATCTCTTTCATCATTACTCAAAAAACATAATATTCCAGGCCTTTATGGTTAATCTTCTTTTTATTGTTTATAATTACATGATAGTAATTATTTTTATTTTAAGAATTAATACACACGTATTGTTAACTGAAAAACTTCGTGAACATCGAAATAATGCTTGGAAAAGTATAATCTTCTTGTTTTCCTACTGTTTTTTTTTACTACATCAATTGTGAATAGATTGTTATGGAAGGGACTGATCCAAAATCGATTTCATTTCAAGATCAAAATAAAACTAATTTTATGATAGAAGTTTCTATACAGGTAAATAAATTTTTTTATCTTTTTTTCGTTTTTTTTTGTTGAATTATTAGAAACCACATGTATTTAATCCAACAGAAAAAATATCTATTATTTGTATTGACTGTGGACTTAAAAATCATCAATTACAAATTTTATGTCAACTCGATCAAAAAAGTAACAGTCTTTCCTTGGAATCATTCTGTTAAACAAGATAGTATTTTACTTAAAATATGAATAACAGTTTAGATTTTCTTTTTCTTTTCTAGAATTTGATGGTCTTTTTTTGAGTAATGATCCCGGTGATCTACAAACTCAATGTCCAGATACTATTAAAAACTATAAAATCTTAGATTAATAGTAAAACTATTAAACCAGTATTTGATATTTGTCTTAGTCACCAGGTAAAAATTTTAAATTAATTTCTTGTTTCTATTATATGAACTGATTTTTAGTTAATGACTTTGACTGCTTGAATGAAAACAGCAAAACTTAAATATGGAAATCGAGGTCATAGTCAAGTATGTTTTAATAAACATTTTGGAATCTATAATAATATTTATTTTGATATTTTCTAGTCATGTTTATTAGAAGAAACTCAATGTTGTTTTATAACATCACATAATCATGGTTTTACTGTTCAAACCTCACAAGGTTTAGGTAAAGATTGGTGTATTTTATTTACAAATCAAAATGATCAATCCAATGAAGGCATTATTCATGATTTCAAACCATTTTTTAGTGTTCAATTTCATCCTGAACATTCTGTTGGACCAAGTGATACAGAAAATGTATTTCAAATATTTCTGGATGTTGTTCAATCATATAAATCAACGAGTGGTGTCATAATCCTGTTACACCCGGTATCCGGATTTGCTTTTAATGTAGCGTCAGTGAATTTGGGGTATTACCCTAAAGGTAACGATCTCTACAATGTAAGTATGTTTTNCAAAATTAAATTGGTAAAGAATTAAATGCTGATTTTCCATAGATAGGCTGTTTTTATTAATTTTGACACTCCATTAGTATTTTGCGATTTTCTCTATGAAAACTTTGTCAAATCGAAAAAATAAGAAAATATTCGTAATCAGCATTAAAAATTGAATCTAGAAATGTATGTCTAAAGAAAAAATGAAGAGTGCTCAAATTTCGAATTAGTTGCACCTTACACTCTTCATATTCATTGCAACAAAATAAAAATTTCCCTATAGTTAAAACAACCAGTTGCAATTTCTGCATTTCTGAAAAACAAGTGACTACATTAAAAAAAACTAATATGAGTGAGACAACAATAAATCATCGACGTACATTTATACTACAGGTAGAATGAAAATTTATATATACGTATATTCAACATCAATAAATGAACTCTCCATCTTCCAAAAGTAAATATCTAACAAAAACTTACAAAAATTTTTTTTCCGTCACAACATACTACATTTGTAAGCAGGACACAGAAAGAAAACACTACTTAATATACTTTCTTACAATCACCATCATCATGAAATGCAATGCTATTTAAAACTGAACATGAACTATCGAAAAAGATTCTATCAAACATTCAAAAAATCTTTCCCTCACCGTATAATAATTATATTCCAGATAGAACCTGAGAAGTTCAAAACTATATTCCTGTAAACATGGTTTCAATTAAATTAAACTAATCAATGTTTGCTGAAAAAAATAACCGTTTCCTTGAAAACAAAAAAAAAGGATTTCCCCTTATCTAGCAACCAAGAAAATACGTATTTCTTTGTATTTGATCTAATGTTATACTTAGGTCAAAAATTTTTGCAAAGACAACGTCATATTTATTATTTTACTTAAGGAAAGAAAAACAATTAAACTATGATATCATTTATTTTCACATCATTGTTTTGACGAAGTATTTTCAAATTACTCATAAATGAAAAATTAGAAATATGACTGAATCGTTGTACTAGAATTAATCAATTATATATCATTAAAAGAATTCATGTTCATAAGTTCTTAGAGTTCTGTTGTAAAGGTATACAATATGATGCATAAAACAGATACGAGAATAATTGAAAATGGCAATGAATAAAGTCAATGAATATGTATATATCAAAAACCTTTTACTAGAATAACTAAAAGGCGAAGAACTACGACATGGTAACAATCTTATGCGGTATATATAAAACGTATGCATATCAAATAAACTTGAACCAACGTTAAATTTGAGAAATATTTCCATTAAAATATTTGAAAATAATATATATTGAGAGCCACAAGTTCTTTCTATATTATTTTCATTATATTCAACAAGATAACACGAGTGTCACACAAATACAATTATGTATCATTATTCACAATGGTCAATTCAGGGATTAGCAGGGGTGGCAAATGTCTTCCACTTTCGACTTGACTTCTTGCTTTTTGCATAGCGATTTTTTTCCGAAATTTTGTACATTTATCTCATCCATCAATTCTGTTTCACTCAATCGTTCCACTTTCCCTTATGCGTCCCCCTCTTCACATATTTATGGATTCATCACTGATTATCAACGTTTATTGAACTTGTCTGGAGACTTTTGCTACTCTAATTAAATATGCATTACAAAAAGAAATATAAATACAAACTATCATTGCAGTCTACTATTCACCTATAAATATTCTCTGAATGAGATACACATGAATCATTCTATTTCGATCAACATCAATGCAGTTCTGTATAGCATTTATAAATATCCAACCCATTTCTGTCTTTTCTCGTCCAATATCATCAGCTCTCCTTTATAGGTTCTATACGTGTTCAAGCAAAAGTTAACGATTCGTCGATCTTCAAATAAAAATATCACCGATACTACACAAGACATTCTGTGTGAAAACGCCTGTGAGTCAATATTCATGAAACTCCTTTCGCCACACCCGCACCAGATGCGGTGATGAGTGTGTGAGAGAATGTGCGTTAGTGGTGATTCTTGAAACTGCTGTCGGTTTGAGGCTTAAAAATTGACAGTTGAAACTTGAAATTTCAGTTGAATTTAAGTTTCAGATTTGACATATATGATTATTCAACAAAATAATGCAATTGATATCCATCAAATTTGTTATCAAAACAAAAATAAATAATTATGATGAAATTTATAATGTTAAAACCATTAATTTATAAAGTTATCATACAAATGTAAACAAAAAAAGTTAATCAAATGTCTTGGCAGCCACATGAACAATGAAAAATTGCTGTTTCTTATTGCAGCTTTAATTTTATTCCTATTATAACACATACAATTGATTCAGTTTTTTGAAATATTGTTACAAATATGATGAAAAGTTTTTTCATCATATGAATTTTTCTTATGTATAGAAAACCAAAATAAATCTGATCTTATTTTATAATAAAATTCTGCCTTGAGTACAATTGAGTTTAATCAAAGGATACAACTCTAATATTAGTTAGTTGTCTTAAAGAATAAGTTTCTAAAAGAATCTTTAAAATTTTTCTATTAATTTTGTTCGACATGAAAGAAAGTATATTCGATTTGCGTAAAGGAAATACTTCAGTGAACAATCATTAATTGAATTTAGTTATACAGAAGCTGTTCAAAATGCATTGAGGTTTCAAGCAAAAACGGATGAACTTCTTTCTGCTGGTGCTAATGGAAAAATATGTTGCTAGGATACAAAAAATTGAATTAATCAGTTGATAAACTTATATTTGATCTGGAAAAAAAGAAAGGTCACAATATGCATCAGCTATAACAAAACTTGAATATGATTTGAATATTGTAAGGAATACAATTATATTTGTCTTCATATTCTAATGAGTTTTTGTATGCTAAATAAAATTTATGGTAAGAACAGAAGCAGATCGTATTTTTCTATCTACACATAAAGCAAAAAACGATGCTCAACGAATAAATATTATTTATGCTGGTCATACCGGACAGATTTCTTCTATTCAAAGACATCCTTTTTTGTCCATAAAATATTTTATCTGTTGGTAATTGGACTCTATGTATTAGATCTGAAGAAATACGAGATGTTTGCATTTTTTGTATGGAGTGAATAATTTACTGAATTAAAAAAATATGAAACGAAATTTTCTAGACCGAGTAAATATTATTTAACTGAGGCATAAAGTATTCTGGAAGACTTGATATTTCCATTATATCAACAACTGAAGATATTCCTATTACATATGCAGATAAACCAAGATTAGAGATAGTACTTTAACTTTAAAAGCACTTCTCGAAAGCACTTAACATTCAAATGTTACTTTAAAGCGTTAGTTTTAGGAAAACTAAAGTCAAAGTGGATATGTTGAGGGTGTTCTCCACTCTTGTGCAGACAAAAAATACTGTTATGCCGACTGACTCAGGGGTAAGGAGAGATTTTCTCTTAACAAGCCGATGCGATATTTTCCTTTCTTCAGTTACGATAGAAATCAAGAATGATTTTTAGAACACCCTCAGCGTGTCCATTTTGGTAATTCTTAAAGTTCAACCTTCAAAATCTGTTAGTTAGATTTTAAATTTTAAAGCAGAGTTCAAGTGCCATCTCTATCCAGTTTGAGAGAAATACCATTGTCTTTCCAATATACAAGATTTGAAAGACAATGTTTCAGTTTTCGGAATCTGAATTATATTATGTAATCAAACTTATTTGGTGTCATATATATGGCACGAGTGCTTATTTCTTAAAGCTCTTACTGGTCATTTGACAATATATTACTTGATAGACAGCTCTAAAAGCCTTTATATTACTTCAAAAGATAAACAACAGCTTCTATAGTCTTTAACATTTTCTGGTAATTCCTACTTTCCTAACCGCTTGACATGACCGAAAAAAAAATGTATTGCTTAATATTAAGCGTGGGATTCATTTATATATGGAACTTATTATTCAAATAAGATCAATCGACATTAGCCATCAAAGTAAACCCTCCTATTGATTAATTCTGTCTTTTTTTTTCTTTTTTCATAAAAATTGAGCAGTTAAATGAAGAAGAATGTCATTATATAACATGTAGTTCAAAAAATGGAAATGTTACTTGAATGGCATTATCTCATAGTCTTGGACTTCTTCATCGAAATTAGGATAGATGTGAGTCTGCGTGGCTGTTACCGTGTGAATGAGTGTGAGCAGTCTTTCCATTCCATACCCTCATAAAATGTTCATCCGATCGATCGTTGTTCTTTCAATACATAGAAATTAAAGATGTCATGGTAACGAATAAGGTGGATCAGAAGATACGGACATCTGTTGAAGAATGATCTTTATCTATAGAGTCTCTTCTTTTTTTCATTGATTTAGGAAGTAAAAATGGCTGATTGACCGAGCTTATCTCATCGATATTTGCTCTTTATAAAACAAATCAAGTTAAATTTATTAATTAGAAAGAAAATTCTTGATTAATTGAGTTTGCGATCATTGATATTTTAATTGTAAACATTATAATTACGAAAGAAGATATATGTGAATTAAGATCATGTTGAAATTTTAATCAAACATCAGAAATTTATAAATCTCTATGTTAAATATTTCAACATTTTAATTAAATGGCTTTACTTTTTTAATCAATTGATATTTATGAAAAAGATTGTTTGTTTTTTGTTTTAGATCGAGAAGGAAGATTGCACTTTTAGTTTGGTGATAAACAAGTGAAGAGAATTTGTTAATAATCTTCATTTATTATTATTAAATTTTATTTTAGAATAGTTTTTCGAAAAGAAAGGCTTTCTTGGTAGATCTAATTTAATGTGCTTGTATACAATATGCGACATTCTCATCTATATACTGCTGAAAAATCCATTCTATTTAATCAGTCTATCTGAGAATGACACGTATCGTGTAGGACTTTTTAATTGTATACTATAGGACGAAAAAAAAACATCTTATTTCGAATAATCGAAATAAAGCTGTCAGTATTTGTTTTCATCTATTCGTTTTCATAGTTTATTTTGTCTCTGCTCTTTGTTAATATTATTCAAATGAATCATATTATTGACTTAAAGTTGGTTGGTCGTTGTAAAAAGCTGACGTGTACACAAGGTTTTTTTTCTTTCTCCTCTAGATGGCTATAAAACCATTTTTCATCATATTTTTTATAGGAACAGGTTTGAATTGAATTTTTTTAATTTCAACAAAAATCTAAAGATATATTTCCAATAAACTTAGTAAATAGTCAACTTCGATGTATATTTGATCGTCCAATATTAGGTGAATATTATTCATATGAAAATGGTCTTGAAACTCATACATCATTTAAAAAAAATGGTAATATTGATCGACTTTTTTATCGTCGAGAATCGGGTCGTGGTGCTACTGCTAATATAATAACAGTTCTTGATAATCATGCACTTGGAGAATGTGTTTATCTTAATTGGAGAGCAAATCCTTTTAGACATGTTTCAAGACATCATTATGAACTTATTTATCGAGATAAGTAAGTTATATAATTATTTTTTTTTAATTTTATTTTAATCAAAAGAAAAAAAAACTATTTTCTAGAAAAAAATCTTGTTATCAATGTTATGAAATTTATAATAGAACACGTAATATACTTCAAATACGAAAAAGTGAATGTGATGAAGTAACATCATTATCTACAAATCAAATGAATATTCAAGATCTTTGCTTAACTATTAATGAAGAAGCTGAATTTGATACATTATTTTGTTAGTTATTTATTTATTTATTTATTTTTTTACTTTTTATTTCGAAATTAATTTTATTATTTATTATAGTAAAAACATATTCAGCTGAAGAATGTCGTGCAACTATATATGGAACATATCATTTTACATATGAATTTCGTGAAGGTGGTATTGGTATATGTGATAATCCAATATCACGTTTAGTATCTTGTCCTGATCCTGGAACTCCATTTGAAGCTCTTAATGAACGTTTTTGGATGACATATGGTTATTGTCGAGATCTTGTTTCATCAATTGANAATCCAGCTGAAAATGCTATTTTATTAACAACACGTGTACCAGCTCAACCGGATACTTCTATTTATGATCTTTATACTATACCAAAAGATGCTGGTGAATCAGCTAGTGCAGCACAAAATCCAGATGGTAATACTTATCTTTTTTTCTAAAGATAGATAACGATAATTAGGCTCAGTTTTGTGTTCTTGATATGTACTGGATTTGTTATTCTCTGTTCTGATACTTTCCTATCCTATAGGATAAAATATGGTTACTTGTGCCGATCGAAATACAAATTTCATATTTACACTTTCAATAGAGTTTAATCGAGATTGGAGTCAAGGGTGACTAACTAACTAACAAAGAAGAACTTTGTATTTTTAAATAAATGAAAACAAATTCTATTAAACCTATGATGTCTATCTAATATAATTTCCAAATCCAAATTCGTCTGACTCAAATGTTAACTCTATAAATTCTACACAATGTTTGTCTAATCTACTCTGTGCTTTTCTTAGCAGAACATTGCACATTTCTATCCAATGCTCTTATCTATCAATTGAAGATAATAATAAAATTTAACACAATAAAAAGAAATCAATTAATCATTCACCTTTGAGAAGATGAAAAAATGTTGAACTATAATAAAGATTCATAAATTTGATCTGTATGACATTTGAAAAATAATAACATATACTTATCTTGATTTTTTAATAGTTTGAATAAATTACTTTTCAGCTCCTGAAGGTCGTCGTTCATCTGGTTTAAATGCCGTTTGGGTTGCTCGAAATCGATTCGCTGTCCTTGACAAAAATCATGTTGTAAGTTTAAATTTATTTTCTTTTTTTTAAATTTCTTAATAAAAATTTGTCTTTTAGATTTTAATAAAAAATAATAAAAATGAAATAACAAAAAAAATTCAACTAGCAAATTGTGATGAAATTTTTTATGCCGGTACGGGTCTTTTATTAATACGTGAAAATGATCATATTAGTTTATATGATGCACAACAAAAACGTTCATTAGCAACTGTTAGAATAGGCAAAGCTAAATATGCAATATGGTCAAATGATATGAATTATTTATCATTATTAGCTAAACATCAACTTGTTATTTGTAATAGAAAACTTGAACAATTATGTATTATTCAAGAAAATGTTCCTGTTAAATCAGGTGCTTGGGATGATTCAGGTGTTTTTATTTATACAACATCAAATCATATTAAATATGCACTTGTTAATGGTGATCATGGAATTATTCGTACACTTGATTTACCGATTTATATAACAAAAATAAAAGGAAATAGTGTCTTTTGTTTGGATAGAGAAGTTCGAACAAGATTATTAAATATTGATCCAACAGAATATAAATTCAAATTAGCTTTAATTAATCGAAAATATGATGAGGTAAAATTAAAAGGTTTCTTTTCTTGGGGGCATTACACTCGACTGGGATCTTTATTAATTCTGAAAGAAATATGAGTAATAACACACAAGAATATAACATGAAACTAAATATGATTACTTAATTGTATGTTTAAAATATTCTTCATATTTTTCTTAACTTTTTATTTCAATTTTCTTATACAAAAATTAAAATATTAAATGAATCAATTTAATTGAGTCGAATTATACATCTCGATTGAACAAATTATCAACGACATTACAGATGTTACACATATACCTACAAAATATTGATAGAACAATTGAATATTAATTGCAATTAGTTTTTAAAAAAATGTAAAGGAAACGAATTCGGAAATGACATTTTTCCTTTAGATTTCAATGGGACTTGTTTATTAGGAACGTATATGGTCTCATAAGTATTTTATCCAGCGTGAAAGTCAATGGGCAACATTTCTCCAAAGATCGAGTTGACCATCTCGAAGTTTTTGATTCTTGTATCATATAATATGTTTGTGCTCTAAAGTCCGTCGAGTATAAAATTCTCGGGTCCAACCTTAAGCCCCTCTATTATGTCTCCAATAATATGTGTTCACGCTCCTATAGTTTTAATTCGTCTCTCTACAATAGAAATTCTCTATCAAACCCAATGTTCCAGTCGAGAAGCGCCCTGTATTTTTTTAGTTTTATTTTTCTATATTTTAAAAATCTATTAAGGTACTTCATATGGTTCGAACAGCAAAATTAGTTGGACAAAGTATTATTGCTTATCTTCAAAAGAAAGGTTATCCGGAAGTAGCACTTCATTTTGTAAAAGATGAAAAAACAAGATTTGGATTAGCACTTGAATGTGGAAACATTGATGTAAGTAAATTTCTTTGTGTATTTATTTTTATTTTGAATATTATATGTTTGAAATTATTTAGATTGCACTGGAAGCTGCTCGAGCTTTAGATGACAAACGTTGTTGGGAAAAATTAGCTGAAGTAGCTTTATTACAAGGAAATCATCAAATTGTTGAAATGTCTTATCAACGAACGAAAAATTTTGATAAATTAGCTTTTCTTTATTTAATAACAGGAAATCTTGAAAAATTAAGAAAAATGATGAAAATTGGTTAGAAAAATTTATTTTCTATTTTATTTCATTTTTGTTTTATTTAAAAAATATTTTGTTTTTTTAGCTGAAGTAAGAAAAGATGTTAGTGGACAATTTCAAATTGCAATGCTATTAGGAGATGTTGAAGAACGTGTTAAACTTCTTAGACAATGCAATCAAAGTAAAATTTAATATATTTTGTTTATGAGATTGATTTATTAAATTTTTCTTTTTTATTAAATAGAATCACTTGCGTATGTTATGGCAGCTACACATGGTCTTGATGAACAAGCTGAACAATTGAAAGAGTCTCTTGATGAAAAAGTAATTTATTATTTTTAGATAAACTCTTATGTTGAGAGTTCGCGCCATCACGATCAGAAACAATTATAAACTTCTACCCATCATAGAAGACCTCGCATTGTCTATTATGTTCAAACGTATAAAATTTGTCAGTGAATTTTCTATTGTGCTTCATTTATTTTCATAATTTTTAATTTAAAAGGGTTTTTTTTGTCTAGAAAACCAAAATCATTTTGAAGATTTTAAAAGAGATTTTTTAAGATTTTAAAAGGCCTAAAAATTTCTCATTTTCATGTTAAAATTTTAGGTGATGTTTCAATTTATTCAGAAATTCATAAGCTTAGAAGAATCATTTATTACGTCCAACACATTGTTATTCCAAGAGGAAAGTCTTCAATAGAAGAGGGAGAAAGGGAATTATGAAAGTTTTCAAAATTTCTTTCGACATTTGAAAGTCAGAATTTTCTTTAATAGGCTTCAAAAAATATAAATATCATTGTAATAGAATTCTAAGTATAATATTGTGTTTTTGAGTATACTCTTTCTATTCTTTCTAGTAAATTTATTCAACTGGTAATTAGAAAAAAAAATATCTAATTGAAAAATCGAAGGGAACTAACTAGAGTCATACATTATTTGAAGTATTTTCTTGAGCCTTAATGAGATGTATGAAAATTATTGATACAAACATCAATGATATGGTCCCATTTATATAAAAGCTAAATTTTTATTAAGCCTAGTATCGTACTCATGCTAAACATATCTTGTAGATCCATACTTTAAGTTATTCTTATTCTTCGTTCTACTGAAAAAAAAACAGCAATATGTTTATAAATATCTTATTTTTTTTGTTTAAAATAAAAGTTTATGAAGAAAAAATATCATTCTATAGTTAATTGATCTATTCGCTCTCTTCCATATTCATTAGAATGTATATTAAAAAATTTACTAACCAGTAAACACTTTTCATATTCCATTCAAATATCGGATGAGTTACTATCCGTATTACACGTTCGTTCGCACTATCGTCGGTAACACTCATAACTTTCACTGGATGCTATAAACGATGATAGAAGAAAATAGTTTCAGAATATACTTCACTAATAAAAGCTTTTACAAAGCTAACTACTATAAAATTTTATTTCATAACTGCTATTGATTTGGGTTCTGTAACTAGTACAAGCGATTCAGACACATGAATATCATCACCATGCATCGAAAATGACACTATCAATTTTAATAAACTTCCCATTGTGATGCAATGCATCATGATTATAACATTTAAAAAAAAAAAAGAAAACAACTGTCAGTATAGCACACATTATATCGATCGGTAGTTTTTACATGGATAGACTGATAAGTATAGACTTTGTACGAACACTGACTTCAACAAAATCATGAATATAACTTCTTTCTATAGTTACATTTGATTAACGTTATATAGACTAGAAAATAATAACAAAAACAAAATCGATAGGAGATTAAATCAATATGAATATATGTTTAAATTTTTAAAATTTACATAACAAAACTTTGTATATTTTAGATACCTGAAGTAAATCCAAATGCTGAATTAATATTACCACCATGTCCAATAAGTCAACAAGAATCGAATTGGCCATTATTAGCTGTATCAAAAGGATTTTTTGAAGGTGTAACAATTAAAGGAAATCAACCAACAACAACAACAACAAGTTTATCATCAACTATAACAACAAAACTTGCTGCAAATGCTCACATTGATGAAACAGGAACAAGTGGTGGAGATTGGGCTGATGATGAAGTGCAAGTGGAACTTGATGAGGATGACATGAATCGAGAAAATCTTAATACGGATCAAGATGAACAAGGTGAAGGTTGGGGTGATACGGCAATTGAATTACCACCTGATCTTGTATGTTATTTAATTTTTCAATATAAAACGAAAAAAACAACACAAGACAATGTTTATTTGTTTGTTTTTCTAATAAATAGGAAGCAGCTGGTGTAAGTGGTGGAACTGGTGATGAAGAAGATGCAAGTGGATATTTTGTAGCACCAACAAAAGGTCAATCAGTTCCACAAGCTTGGACACAAAATTCAAAATTACCTGTCGATCATATTTTAAGTGGTTCATTTGAATCAGCAATGCGTTTATTACATGATCAAGTTGGAATTGTTAGTTTTGATGAATATAAACAATTATTTCTTCAAATATATTCACGTTCACGTATAGCTTTTACAGCACTTCCATCATTACCATCATTATATTCATATCCATTAAGAAATTGGTTTGTATTTATTTGTTTATTTAATAAATATTTTTGAATTTTTATTTTAATTATTAAGGCGTGAGGCACATTCACCAAAATTATTTTATCCAGCTGTTGGATTAAAATTAGAAGAATTAGTTGGACGTCTTCAAATAGCTTATCGTTTAACAACAAATGGAAAATTTCAAGAAGGTGTTGAGAAATTTCGTTCAATTTTATTATCTGTTCCATTACTTGTTGTTGATTCACGTCAAGATATTCTTGAAAGTCAACAATTAATTGAAATATGTAAAGAATATATTGTTGGATTACAATTATCAATGGCAAAAAAAGATTTAGCAAAAGATGATGAAAAACGTTCATGTGAATTAGCTGCATATTTTACTCATTTACAATTACAACCAATACATAAAATAATGACATTAAAATTGGCACTTAATCAAGCATTTAAATTAAAAAATTATAAAACTGCTACAAGTTTTGCTAAACGTTTATTGGAACTAGGACCAACACCTGATGTTGCTCAACAGGTTTTTATTTTTATATTTCATTATTTTATTTGAAATTCAGAGATGGAGTTCTTTCCGTATTTATAGATAGACTGACGAATATCATCCAATTTAGAGAATAATTCTAAATTAGATTAATTTCCAAAACTTTTTAATTTAAAACAAAAAAAAACGAAATAAAACCAAAGAAAAATATCGATGTAAATTTTAAAACTTATTTATCGATTTTTGAATAGGATTATATATATATATATATATTGAATCAATCACGATTGTCGTTTATTAGACTAGATACTCAGCAGATATCAATTNATAAAGGAGTTTCTAAAACGTCAAATAATCTATTGTCATATTACTAATGAGCGAAATAATTTAAATATAATGTTCGAAATCAAATATTTATTCTTAATACAACATCTCTAAGTCCATATTCAAAAGAGCGCAAAGATCTTTTCAAGACTTACAGATAGATTTTGACTTGTCGGAAATACTTTCTATCAGATCAAAAGTCAAAAAAAAACATCTTGTGAAAAATCTTTCCGATGAACCATTTTATATATGAGCAAAATCTTTTGTCTTCTGATTATAAATGCAAAGATGATGATCAATCTTTTATTAATTATGAAAAAAAAAAGAAACAATAATAGACACGTGTGTTAATAAGTCTTTTATATAATTTGTAATTTTGATGTAGCTGTTCTATTCAGATATTAAATAAGATTTTCAATTAACCAATTGGATATGTGTGATTATTATCTTCAAGAATTTCTGTAACAATTATTGATTTACTAGCAACGATGATAACAGCAATTTTATATTTAGCTTTCTTTATTCTATTTAATGTTAAAATAACACGTTGAGGTGGAAGTTTTGACAAATCTTTTACAAAATTTATGCTAATCGTTTGTTTATATTAAGAACTGAATAATCAGGAAAAAAGACTTGCTGTATGACCATCAGGTCTCATACCAAGAAGAATTATATTAAATAAATAAAAATTAAGAACAAATTAAGATATTAGAAAAGAAAAAGCGTGATTAACTTTATCTGGTTCAATAAAGAATTCTTATAATTTGTTTTGATAATTTTTTGCATATTCTTCAACAGTTTTCAATGTTGAATCAATTTTAATTATATTTCTTTGATTAACTTTCTAAAAGATCTGTTTTGAAAAATTCTCAAATTCGTAACCAAAAACTTTGCCGGTTTTAATCACAGATTCAAGTTTTCTATTTCAGCAAAAAAGAATTTCAAAAATAAGGCTTTATTACGACCTAATTCTAACTGTTTGCTGTATAATAAAAAAAACAACTACTACTGTTATATGGAGTCGTTATTATCAGAAAGATTTGTCCGCGTAAACAGTATACTCGAAAAAACTGATTTTGAGAAAAACGCTAAATAACTTTTAGTAATCGATTTTTTTCATTCAAATTATTTAGATTTTTTCAGAAACATATGTGAATTATATATCAGTAATCTGAAAAACCTATAAATATAGAATCCTTATCTTAATAAAATAAACGTTTTATCCAATGATGATGCAAATGAAAAGACAATTTTTTGAAAACTGAAAAACTTGAAAATTTCTAGAAAAACATAATTGTAGAGTCTATGTTGCTATCAATAAGTCCATCAAAATTTGCCCATTCGACGAAAAGGCATGTACATTCTGAAAGAGGACACTCCAATGCATCTGGTTATGATAAAAACTCGACTTCGATTTTTCTTCAAAAAAGAACGGGAGCACATAAGACAACGTTTTGGCACTTTTGACTATTATGACCAAACATGATTAAATCATATATGGGATGAAAGATCATGAACTGATGATCACTTTAATACCAAATTTGACATGTTTTGAATGGATTGTAAATGTAAAACGGGTCCAGTTTTACCACATATGAAATGGACATTCGACTATTAATCCTACTCAACAATATGAGCGCTCGTTTGAAAGAAAACAAATAGATTTGAATTCTATTTAGAAGTTATTTCCGAATCGAGGCAAGTTTTTATCGCATCGACTCGACTCGCTTCGAATACCTTCTACCTCGCCTCGTGAGACTTTTGCCTCGCTTCGGATAAATTGTAATAACTACGATAGGGTACCAGTTTCTCAATTTCTTCTATCCAAAACAGCATGGAAAATTACTATATTAACTTCTGGCCTGGCTTTATTTCCTATCAAGTCAACAATAGCTACCATTCATTTAATAATGCAGAAAGCTGCAGCAAAAATAGCTTGACAGAGAAACATTATTATAGCCTGCAGCTTTTTTGGTAATCAAGGCAATCTAGAGAAAGCAAGTGTTAATGAATAATAAACGATTGCACTCTTTAGTTTTTACCGAAAATCTTGGGAATAATTTTCTGAGTAATTTTACTATCTGATTTAGATTTAAAGATGATATCAAGTCCAACTAACGTAGCTCTACAGATCTATATCAGACTTGTCTTGAAACTTGAATCTGTTAAGAACCTTTAAGTCTTTTCTACCAGTACCGATATTTACAAAAATGATTTTTAATATTCACAAATATGTTGAAACAGCGGTTTCCAACATATTTTTATTTAAGTGACTCTAATCTTAATCATTCTTAGCTTGATTGTCAGGTTAATATAAAACTGTTTAAAAATCCTATTTTCAGCAGACTTCGCAGCAACAAACATTCGCTATTTTTGAAAGTTTTGGTATGTAACCTTTAGAGTATTCGAATGCAAAATCAATAATTACCAGTCTTTACAGAATGGTAAAAAAACACATATTTCGATCTATTTTATAGAGACTAATATCAACTAGTCAATTTGGAAAGTATTATTAATAAACGATCATTGGATCCAATGTGATCTGTTTATTGAAGATGACACTTCTTTAATCTGAGGCAATCGATTATCTCGACTTATACTTTCTCTTCTTTCTACACGAAAAAATTAATAATGAAAAATGTAGCGCATTATTAACCGAGGTGAAATTTTCAAAATCGCCTCGTTCACCTCCTACCTCGACTCACCTCGCTTCGTTTCGGGCTCTGATCTGCTTATGACAATATCATTTCCTTTTCTTTTATTTTATTTTAATATGATTAAATATATTCCGGTATGGATCGATAATGTGACGAGCATTACAAAATGACTCAATTCATTATTCTTTTGGTGTCTATTATATTTATAAATCAGTATTGAACTAAAACAAATATTCCTTACTGACATCAATAAAATACTTAATAAGATTCACTATTTGTAAAAAAAAAATAGTGAAAATTTGTGTGTGGGTGTAGGTAATAATTCTACCTACACGAAGCTCGAAATAAAAAAATTGAATTTTGAATAAATTCTCATGTACTTGATAGCAGTCTTATACTGAATTTTTCAATAAGTTTAATATATCTATCGTAAGTAACGAGTGATTTCTAATCAGCCAGATAAATTTAATAAAAATAAATGTTAATCAAGTAAACCAAAATGTTATTTTTATTATTATTACAGATAGGGAGTATCAACAAAAGAAAGGAAGAAAAAAAATTGATTTAATCAAGTTTATAAAGTTTAACAGCCGATGGTTTTTCAGTTCTAATAGCCACATAAGAACTGTTTGGAGCAATACAAACATTTCTAATGTTTCTTATTTTTGTTTCTTTAATTAATTTTGGTTTTCCTTGTTGATCAACTATCCAAAGTTTGTTTGTATGCCAATTAACAAATAACCATCGTTGATCATGAAGTGGTATAAGCATAGAAAAAAATTTATGTTGATTTTCTCCTGAATCCATTGTAGTACCACGTCTTACTCTTTTCATATCACGTGACATTATATCTAATCTCCATTTTAAATCATCTTGTTGCATTATTGATAAACAAATATATTGTGAATCACATCGAACATCACGCATTCCAATATCTTTTGTTTCACAACAATCAGATTTAGCATAACGTTTTTCTAATGTCCATTGTGATGTTGATGATACACGATATTGATCTAAATGTACACCTTTATGATAATTTATAAAAATATCACGTTCAAATGGTGATATTGATGCTAAAACATGTGATCGATCTAACGGTTGAATTGCATCGATTTTAACTGGAAGATTTGGATGTGATTTTATTGGATCATATAAATATACAGAATGAATTGTTAATATAACAAACATTGATAATGATGACATCCAACACATATCAACAAGAATACCTTAAAATGAAAAAAGATTATATTTTAAATAAAAAAATAACTTATTAATATATTTCTTTCTAGGATGAAAATGTTGAATTCACATGTATTATTTAGTCTCATCAAAATAATACAAAAAATAGATTGAGTGGAAAATCTCTAACAAACTATAGTTGTTCTTCAACGATAATCGATCACCAAGGAAACAATCTATCTTATTTATTTCTCTATTTCGAATAGAAAAGTTTTTTCTCGCACTATTTTTTGTGTCACTTGTTGCTACTTCACTCTTTACTTATCTTTTCCATATTCCGGTTTTCTTAATTTAACGTTATAATTATTCTAATCATTGATTTAATTAGCAAATAAGTCTGTTATACATATCAATTATATCTACGTCAGTTTTCAACATCCTATCATTTATCTCGATAAACTCGGAAATCCTAACTTGATTAGTTCATGTTCTTTATGTTAATCATATGACAAACTAAAGTACCACTACTGATCACTTTTGACATTTTCAATATTAATTTTTATGTACACTAAAATCAAAAGCGGTACTATTTTGAAAATTCGAAAATGTATTCCGGTCGTTCAAATTTCGAAGAAAGTTTTGAAATATTCCAGAATATCGTAAGTCTTGTTACTAATATTTTTCATCATCTCTTCTTACTTCTAATTAACTCTATGAAAGAAAAATGACGCTTTTTTTCCTCAATTGTTATCGAGTAATTGTTGAGCTTTCATGTCTACCACCTACTTTCGCTAGACGGAAGGACTAATAGAAACCGTTAACTTCTACTTAAAACTTATATTCACTATATTTTTCTTGGAAAAAAATAATATATATTCCTCCCCGCTCCCCCCACCCCCTCCCAAAAAAAAAGAAACTAACAAACCATAATCATTATCACTCCATTGAAGTTCATTCAATTTTTTATGATAATCAAATAAAATTAATTTATGATTATCATGAAGAAGAATATGAGTATTAGAAAGTGCTAATGTTGATGAATTTGTATCTAATGAATAATTTTTAATTGGTTCAGGATTAATAGTAAATATATCCATTATATCAGTTGAATTTGTTTTTCGTTTCTTTTTAGCAGGTGATTCGTCTTCTTTTTTGCTTTCATCATCACTTAAATCTTCAAATAGATCTTTTCCATTTTCACTTAATTGACTTGATACAGCTGTTTTACTTATTTTTATTGGAATCGATAAACTTTTTATATCAGGTAATTGAACACGAATCCATTGACGATCACGCATCATATTGCATTCAGATTTTATATGACATAATAATTTCTAAAATATCAAAAAATTATCTTTTCTTCTATTTGAACGACATTAAAATAATATTATTTCATCATCTTCACAAATAATCAAATAAAAACCTGTAAAATCATTATTCAATATTTATCTTTTCAAAATACAAAATCTTTTGTGTATTTTTGAAAACTAAACAAAGTATATTCAACTATTAATCAAACTAGACAAATCTTCTTAGTGATATTAGTGTCTTCTAAGTTGAGTTTAATCCTATCAAAAGATTTTATACACTAAACAAAGTACTACAGATTCGAATAGTCTGTTTTATTATAAAACTTTTCAATATTTAAAGAGACGATTTATTTTGTTACATAGTATTCTCACAGGTAGAGTTTATCATATTCAAAATTTTCGGATCGGATCTAATAGATTGAACTTTTAGTGATCACTAATTCCAGCCATATTCCCTACGTTAAACAATTTTTTTTAATCTCAATCTTCAAATTACTCTGAAGATGCAACAAAAGATTTTTCATCAATAATTTGTATACAACTACTAATACACCCTACTTATATTTGCTAGAAAATCTATTTCCTAATTTTTTTTTACTATTTTTCGGCTGATTCACAATAAAAAAGTATACTAAATTGTGGACAGAGAACTTCTAAGATCGCTACGATTGAGAAGTATCAGCCTTTTTTTTTTTAGTACTAGTTAGCAAATAGAAGAACAAAACGATAGAGAGAAACAAAAATTTTACATTTTCAGTGCTTTCCACTCAAGAGAACATTTACTGTAAGTAGAACGTTCTCAAATTTTTGATATATTGTCAAAATATAACGAAAACTATTCGAGTTTAACGAGAGTTGAATTGCTTAAATATTTGTTAAGTGCCGAAGATTAAAGTTGAATAATAGATTAATATACGAACCTGCATTTTTTCTACTTTTTCTGGATCAGGTGTTGGATCATCTAGAACTTTACTAATTCGCGGCATAATACGATTTTTAAGTTGTTCAATCATTTTTTGTTTAAATTTTTCAGAATCTGGACAAACATCTTGAGTATAAACTTGAGCTAAATCTGCTAAACGTTGTGAATATATTTGACCTAAATGTGCAATAGCTGCTGAATGCCATGATTCAAGTTCTTGTTGACATTTTGTATGAATAGGAGTGAAATTAAGTTTTTCTAATGCACGTAGTTGTTCTTGAGCAATATCAGATAATTCCAGTAATGATTCCGATGACCAACCATTTTCATTGTTTTCTTTATCTTTCGAAACAAACGACATTTTCGAGAATTTATTTTAATAATTTATTCAATAATGAGAAGAAAAAAAGAATTACCGCTCGAACAAAGGAACATTGTTCTTCGACCATATTTATTATATAAACTTCAATAGAGGTTAAATATAATGCATAAATATGTTTGATGTCGCCACAATCGTTTATTCTAATTGGAAAAACAATTGATTGTCAAAAAGAACGCAAAATATGATTGTAAGGAAGATTAAACGAGTATAATTTTGATAAAAAAAATTTTCCTTTTGTAAAAAAGAAAATGAGTGTTTATCCATCAACAGAATCAAATTGGAATTCAACAAAAAAACATTCACTTTCATCAAATGGTGAATATTCATCTCCAACAAAACGTTCCCGTCCATCACTTTCACAACGTTTAGGTCTTGTCGATGATTCGGATCCATCTGATGATGAACCTTATAGTCCTACAGACAATAGTTCAATTGAAACACAACAAAGAATTATTCGACAACCACAAGCATCACTAAGAGAATCAACATTAATATCAAGTGGACAACCTTCAAAAGCTATTTTAGAATTACTTAAAGATGATGATGAAGAAGAAGAAGAAGAAGAAGAAGAAGAAGAAGAAGAAGTAAAATATATCTTTAATTTAATTTAATTTATTTGATAGATAGATATTATAGGAAGAAGCTTATAGTCCATCACAATTAGATCCAGCTACTATGGATGAAGTTAGTCATCAATTAAAAGGACTAAATGAACCATTAACTTCAATGTCTATTCCTGTTGCTCAATCAGTTACTTATGTTCCTCCATCTTCTTCAAATAATCATCAACAAGATATGGATTATCGAGAAAAAAAGAAATTGAAGTAAATTTTTTATTTTATTTTTTTTGTTCGAAAAATTCGAATTGATTTTTGTTTTTGTTTTGATTATTGATATTATTGGTTTTAGTGATAATACAATAAAACATGAATTAAATCAAAATAATTGTCGTATTATTCCAATACATGGTGAATGTACAGGTGTTGATCCTCGTCTTCGTATTCATTCAGTTCGTCTTCGTTCAAAAGTTCGACAATTAGTTTTAGAACGTCTTTCAACAAATGATTTAATTGATCGTAATGAAATACTTGAAGAACTTGATCATCTTGTTGAATCACATGGAAGAAGACTTTATTGGTATCGAGTTATTTGTTTTTTACAAAATATATCTCTTACAAATAATACACCAAAACAAATACATTATTATTTAAAAGAAGTTTCAAAATTACTTGTTTTAACACCAAATATTTCAAAAATATTGAAAATAAAACAAAAATATCCTAAAACAATACCAATTGATACAACAGAAATACAAACAATTAATGATCCAAGATCAAAAACATTTACAATAAATAATATTCATCTTAAACCTCTTCGATACAAATGATTTATGTATTTAGATCCTGTTTTCAATAAAATAAAAAAA